TCATGCTACCCTCACCGCTTAATCCCAAGGTCACATTGTTCCAGACAGAATATTAATCAAACTCTAGTAAAGAACAGTAATGATTCTTTGTACCCCAATTTGTTTTAAAACTCAAGAACCACCCAATTAGCTAACATGGTGGAGTCATTAGATACTTGGATGAGGATGTAACTGCAGCTAACGTTATACAAGCATCCTGCTAAAAATCTTTCCATTATTCTGTTGAGCCACTTGATAACATAAAAAAAAACAACTTAAGACTGTTCAGTAAAATTCCTCTTGAAAAAGGCACTATTTGAAAACACCTTTGCATTACCCATCTGCACTAAGAAATTCTAGATGGATAGATGGTAGTCCTCAACCTCGGGAACACACTAGAATGGCCTGGTAGCTTTTTTCAGCTTTCTTCAGTTATAATGGATGAACAAAATTGTAAGAAATTTAAAGTGATGATTCGACATATGTACACATTGTGAAAGGATTTCCCCCATCGAGTTAATTAACACATCCACACATCCATCACCTCACATATTTGCCTGTTTTTTACTCAGAACATTAAAGATCTGTGAGGGGGGACCCAAGAAAACCCCAGAATTTAAACTTCAGTCACCTTCAAGACACCCTCCATTTGAGGCGATACACCTATCGAGATGGTTTTTTCACTGCTCAAAACAGTTTTTGAACTTGTTGATTTTGGTATCTTTTAGTACTTCTGCCGTTTTTTGTTTCACCTCTTCCACATCGGCAAAACACTTCCCTTTGAGGACTTTTTTTGGGAAACAAACAAACAAAAAAGCTCGCTTGAGAAATCCGATGAATGGGCGGGGGCGGGCGGGGGGGTGAGGCGGGAAGCGGGGGGAGGGCGGGTACAGGAAAGGAGTCAGGCCGTTTTTGGTCAAAAACTGCTGAACACCCGGCACGGTCTGGGCAGGTGTGCTCATCAACCCATCGTGAAATGGGCAAATGCGTTAGTCTTCAAAACAAAATTCTGAACACAGCCTATCACACCACCACCAGCTGGTACACGGATACAGATGGGCTCCTAGAACACTCACCAAGAGGAGGGAAGCCTGTACTACAAGGGGCCCACCGTCCAGAAGATAATTCGTGGTTTTCTGGGGCTCCCCCTCATGCTCTTAGCAAGTTTCAATTATGCAATAATTATCAACTATAGTCGCCATGTCATACATTAGATCCTCAGACCTTATTCACTTTATAACTGAAAGTGGCACCCATTAACGAACCACCCAGGTCCTGGCAGCCGCTCTCTACTGTTTCTAAACATGTTTTGTTTTGTTTTGTTTTGTTTTGTTTTGTTTTGTTTTTTAAAGATTCTACATATAGGTGATACTGTGCAATATTTACCTTTCCTCTGTCTGGCTTATTTCACTTAGCAGGTTCTAAGCCCTCTAGTTTCGTCCCTGTTCTCACAAATAACAGAATTTCCTTCCTTTTTAAGGCTAAACAATACTCCATTTTATACTATATATATAAATGTATATATATATTTATACACACACACACATTTTCTTTATCCATTCATCCATCAGTGGACATTTACATTGTTTCAACTTTTTCTTTTATTAAATTTATTGGGGTCACATTGGTCAAGAGGGCTCCGTAGGTTTCAAGTGCACATTTCTATGACACATGATCTGCATGTTGCTCCTATACAATGGTTATCAGTAACGCTGCAACTAACATGGAAGTACAGCTATCTTTCTAGATAATGAAAACTGACATTGCTAGAATGTAATAGTTCTATTTTTCATTTCTCCAGGTACCTCCATACTGTTTTTCCATAGTAGCTATAACAATTTACATTTCTGCAACATTGTACAAATAAATGTTCCCTTTTCTCCACACCCTCACCCACACTTCTCTCTCATCTTTTTTCTAATAGCCATCCTAAAAGGTATGAAGTGATATCTCATTGTGGTTTTGATTTGCATTAGTGATGAGCAAAGATGCTAAGCACTTTTTCTGTAGCTGGTGACCATTCATAAGTTGTCTTTAGGAAAGTGTCTATTCAGGTTTTTAATCCATTTTTTAATTGGATTGTTTCTTTAAGTTGTGCAAGTTCTCAAATACGTAGTTTGCAAATATTTCCTTCCATTCCATAGGTTGCCTTTTCATTTCGTTGATAGTTCCCTTTGCTGAGAACACTTTGGTTTTATTTAGACCCACTTGATTTTTTTTATTTGTTGCCTTTGTTTTTTGTGTCAAGTTTTTAAATCTTTGTGAAGACCACTGTCGAGTTTACCCACTGTTTTCTTTTAGGAGTTTTATGGTTCCAGATCTTATGTTAAAGTCTTCAATCTGTTTTGAATTGATTTTTTAGTCTAGGGGTCCAGTTTCTTTCTTTTGCATATGGCAATCCAGTTTGAGACTACATTTTCCCCCTCTGTATACTCTTGACTCCTTTGAAAATTAATTGATCATATACACATGGGGATATTTCTGAATTCTGTCCCATTTCTATTGTTCCATTAATCTGTATGTCTTTTTATGCCAATACTACTGTTTAGGTTGATGTAATTTTGTATTATAGTTTAAAATATGGAAGTGTGATGCTTCCAATTTGCTCTTCTTGTTCAACATTGCTTTGGCTGTTCCAGTTCTATTGTGCATTCATACAAATTTTAGAATTATGTTTTCTATTTCTTTGCAACATACCACTGGAATGTTTTTGCCCATATTTTTGTCATATAATTGGCACGTGTTACTTGTAAATGTACAACATAATTTATCTGTATATATTTCAAAATGGGTAACCACAATAGTCTAGTTAATATCCATCACCAGTTACAACTTTTTTCTTGTATCCTTTTAATCAGGTGGACTGCCTGTAATACTTGCTCACTGCCTTCGTTGCATTCCTAGGTATCAGAAGAGGAAACATGTGACACTGCCATTACACTAGAAAAACACTGTGTGGGGCAGTTCACTGACTAGAATGGTATCACACTTTTCATTGGTGTTCTTCCTAAGAGCCTATGGCTTGGTGTCAAACCAAATGTATATATACTTTCTTGGACACGTACTAGACAAAGCAAGTATTTAAAAGCTGGTATTCTGAAAACAAAAAGCTTTTCACAATATGAAGAGGCCAACCTCCCGTATTTTGTGGTTAGTTAACATTGCTTTGGAGCAGTACTCTAATTCTCCCTACTTGTTCTTACTTCTATTTTTAGACTCTGTGGCTCCTGAAATACAGTATTAACTCCATCAGCAAAGTGGAAAACAGCCCATGCTTAGTCCTACATCCAGCTGATACTCAGTATAAAAACATGCACAGTAAAATGTGTTACCTTTCAAGTCTGCTATATATCAATAAAGGGACATACACTTGCGAAAATACCTGTCCTTTGAAATTCAGTTGTTTTCTAATATTGATTTTTCTCTTTATCAACACTTTCATTTCAGCTGGCTGCCATGTTAACTTTTACAAGGTAGTCTTCATTCAGTGTTGTAATAATGTACACTAAAAATTTGAGTGATTAAAGCCTGATGTCTTTTTCCAGATCTTCATTTAAAATGTGAGCTGAAGGATGGGGCCGAGGGGGACAGCGCGGATACACAGCTATTCCTGATGGCTAACGATGTAACACTAGCTTACTACGGTGGTGGCCTTGAAGTGCCTGTTTTACATGTATTAACTGATTGGATCTTTATTAAAAATACTGAGGTTGGCCATATTATCACCTACCTCCATTTACCAAATGAAGAAACCAAGTCATAGTCACATGTCACAAAAGTAACTTACATAGTGATCTCTTAGAGCAGACACCTGGATTTGTGAAGGCTGAACCTGTGAGGTTCTGGATAAATCACTTCTACATATATACAGAGCCATTTCAGCGACGGACTTGTGTGAACAGATATCCCTGTTTCCTCCATCTCCTAGATGTGTGAAAAAGAGGTATTGCCTAGACCTACAATTTTTCCATCTATAAAATAAGAATAATGCTGTCTGCTTCATAACATACTGTTAAATAGGTCAGTCCTTCTCAAAACTCCCTTCTACAGGATAAACATCTTCCTAGGGTTTTTTTTAAGAAAAGAGATTTTTTTTATTGTGAGAATTTTTTCTGTACTCTTACAAGGTTTTGTAAGGTATTTATAAGAATATTCTTTTCCATGATTTCCAGTTCTGTATTGCTCTTAAGCAATTAAGAGACTACCAGCATACCTCATTTTATTGTTTTGCTTTACTGTGCTTCACAGATGTTTCATCTTTTATCAACTGAAGGCAAGACCCTTCACCAGCAAAAAGATTGTAACTCATTTTATGCAGTGGTCTGAAACCGAACCTGCACCATCTCCAAGGTAAGCCATATAAAAATTCTGTGTAGTGAGTGTCTGGGCAACTTTATGTTTTCGTGTTATGCTAATGGCCCAGCAGAGGTCTCGACCAGACAAAGTAAAAAGTAGTAGCCTAAAAGCATGGTACCATGCCAGTTACCAAGGAACATCGAAGAGACAGCTAGTCTCAGTGATCCAATCAAGCTAAGACAGCTGTGGAGGATAAAACTGTGGCACTTAAATACATACACTTTATGAGACTGGGGTCTCAAATTACTATGAAATCCATCCTAACAATTGGGGCAATTGTCTGGATGTCAAGCCTAAGATGCAATGTCAGCTCTTTGTTTTTGCTCAATTTCCCCAAATTAAAGGTCTTAAGGCACTAGCAACTAACTCACTAACCAACATGGTAGGAAATTTGTTTCCTAATAGTATGTAATTTTGAACATGTTAAACATGAATACGGTATGGAGTAAAAACTTCAAGTAATTTTACAAACATCTTTGCATATGTATATATATGCAATAGGGGATATGTGTGTGTGTGTGTGTATGTTTATATTTACACACACACACACACATATATACATCTCCTAATTGTTACATCAATAACACTGTTTATAAATGAGCCACATTTTACAAATAAGAACACAAAAGCAAAACCACACTGGAATTCAGGTCTTTTAACACTTGATCAGTGATCAGTCCACTTTATTACTAATACTGAAGTAAAAATTTAGTTATTACTATGTAATTATATAACCCTAAGAATCTGTAATTATAAATTGTCCTTAAAAAATATAAAAACTGAGTTACTTAATACTCTTAACATACTCATAAATTATGTAAAAATACAGAAACATGAAGCATTAAGTATATATTTTTCTTTAAATATATCTCCTACTTCAGTAGCATACACGGATGACGTTATTTTCTTCCAAGTGATACTCTACCTTTAGTACCTTTAAATATGTAGACACCCACTACAGAAATGATTTTATATGCAAATACTGTATAGACATTCTATCCATACATTCAATTGTCCCAAAAACAATTAACTTTTTAAAAGGAAAGCACACAAAAAATTTTAAAAGGCTCTAGATTCTTCATCTTCTAAATCATTGTTGAGCTGGGAAACTACAGCTTGTTCTACCAAGAATCTCAAGTTAAAACTTTCTCCAAAGGAAATTAGAGAGCAAAGTGCCATTTCAGAAATCACTATTCAGCTTTCTGCCCCAACATCTACAACTGCCTATCCTAACAGCTAAACCAGGTAAAAATAGTCCAAGAGAATTAGACCTTCAATATATTAGGCCATTGTGTTAAGACGTTAATAAGCTAAAACATGAAATACTGAAATCAAAACAAAAACTATCAGTGCTTGAGGCTAATTATCATACAAACTTTAGTTCCTTAAACGTACTCCTCCTTCTACAACATTAATAAAGGGAATATTTTTACTGCAAAGAAAATTTTATTTTATATATCACTAGCCATGAATTTCTGTCATTGGTTATTACATAAATGGTGTCACTATCCAAATGGCATGATCATTTATGTCTACAATTCACTTTGTATTTACAGAATTTTCATGATTTATACAAGTAAATCTATGAATGAAGGTTCAACAGTGAGGCACAATCTAGTATCCATATTATCTGATGTCTTGCAGATAGCAATGTAGAAGAGATACAATTTTAGTCACCTTTTCATTTGAGTCACCTTATGTAAAATATAAATGAATAACTTAGAACATCTAAGCCTCTAAAGGAGATTTTCCAATGCGCTCATAGAAATGGTTAAACAGTAAGATTGTCGGAAACAACTTCCATGTCCACATCCTCTTGTAGTTTCTGTACCATTTTGTCTTCCAGCTGCTTTCCTTTGCCTTTAAAAAAAAATCAAAAACTTTATCAATTCAATGTGACCTTACAGAACACATCAACCCTTTATAAAGAATCTTGGATGTTTTAAAATAACATTGACCACTTCTAAGATATTTAAGAATAGTAAATAAACTTATACGGGTCTTATAATATGCCATGTATTAAGTAAACATTCTGCATACATTTGCTCATTTCACTCTCATAACAATTTACATTTTAAAGATGAGAATAGTTGAGACAGATGAACTTGCAAAAGGTCACTCAGCAGGTGAGCCCAGTAAATCAAAGTGATAAAATTTGAACCCTGGACCTCATGGATCCATGGTCCCTGCCCTAAATACTCTACTACCAACCTCATAGGTTCCCTGAAAACTTAAGATAACAACAGTTAATTCCTGTTTTTTTCTGGGTATCAGTTTGTATCATCTATTTGTGAAACAAACACTTCAGGATTCTATTTTGTTTTAATAAAATTTGGTACAAAAACAACCAAGGTAGGACTTTAACACAAATCCACTATACATGTGCTTACAAAATTTAACCTTTAATAACATTTAGGTTTGGAGTCATTCAGGAATCAATTCTCCAACTAAATCTCACCAAAATTTCTCTCTTTATGCAGTCTACATAAGTAAATTATATAATAGATTGTACTTGGTGCCAGCTAAGTAAAGACTAGTTTTTTCACACCTCATAAAAGAAACTATTCACACAGACAACTGCCCAAATGAATGACTACCAGTAAGTTACATGAGCACAAAGAGAAGGTTTTAATACGAAACTGTAGTTCTCAAATTTACGTATCAGAATTGCCTGGAGAACTATCTAAAGAACAGAGGCCCAGACTCGAAGGGCATCAGCCTTTGTATTTATGTTAAGTTCCCTAGTAAGTCCCATACTGACCAACATCTGAGAACCACTAACATAAAACACTGTACTTTAATAAAAACAGGTATGAGGCAAAATTATCTATGAAATTATTAGTCAACTCATTTTGATAACTTGGAGAGAAGCCTTACAGAAAATGGGATTTTATGAAGGAGAGGAAAGAAATATCATTCGTAAAAAGTTGACTGGAACTGACAAACTGAATAAATTAAATTTTTTAACCAAGTCGTATCATAAGTATACTGAAATAATCACATTTACATGAAAAAATACCCTTAGAAGGCTGGCTGATACCCAATTATATACACCACAAAAATCTGGATTTTTCACCTCTGTACTTGAAGCAGAGAACTAGTATGCAATGCATTACTTACCTGCAAAAGGGGCCCGGATGAGATGAATGTTTTGCTTGACTTCTTTGATGTCTTGAGCTTTCTGTAGTTCTTTATTTTTCTTCAACCTAGGATAAAAACATTAAGGCCAAAATTTCAGTTACTAAAACTTTAGAAATTCATAATTTTTCAAAACAAAATTTATTAATTAAATAAGCCATAGAGATGAGTAGGAACTCAATTGTTTTCTAGTTCCTAATTAGCTTAAACAGGATTCCTACACCACAAACTTGTTCACTCAACGTATCCCTAGTGCCTAATTGGAAATGAAAGGGAGAATACATATTTGCTGAGTGAATGAAGGAATGAGATTGAAGCAAGAAATTAAATATCAGAGATCAATGTCTTATTAGACAGATGTAGTACAACTCTTTTCTGTTCAAATAGAGAGCAGTCTCTCTTTCTTAATTTTTTAAATCATCCAGTAATTACAAGAGCACAAAATCTTAAGACATTCAGCAACACCAACAACAACAAAAAACACTAAGACTTCTTCTCAAACATTTAGGCTCCTTTAAACAATCTTCTAAAGCTAAAAGGCTTTGGTACATGCTTCCTTTCTGTAACAGGTGACCATAGAGACAAGTATTAAAGTAAATGTGGCAAATGCTAATAGAATATACAGCAGTTCTTTATTCTGTGCTTGCCAGTTTCTGTACGTCTGAATTTATGTGAAAATAAGAAGTGAAATAAAAACAAAATGCCTCTAGATGTGTACTAGAAATTATTTTTCCAAGAGTTACTCTATACTTTTTTCCATACCTGTTCATTATAAATTTAGCTTGCCGTTTCTGTTTTATTTCTTCAACTCTCTTCATTGCATCAACTACAAAAAAATGTGTAAGAGTTAGCAAATTATTCGCATTCAAGCAAAAGCTTTAACAATCACTTCTTTATTCTAATTTAGAAATTGATTAAATATAAAACTCACTGAAAAAAAAATCCCTACTAAAACAGCTGAAGATATGTACCCTTTGCTGACATCACTATTAACTCTCTCTTTCACAAGTATCACTTCTCTTTTATTTTGCAAGTGCTTGTCCTACTAAATTTGCCTTCTATGTTAAAGCAGTCAAATGCTTTTCAAATTTTATTCTACAGAGAACTTAGATTAACTGCAACTAATCCCATTCTTAGCTTGTCATCTCCATAAGTAAAGGACAGCACCTTCCCAGTCATAAAGACCAGTCATAAAGTCATAAAGGCACTTTTTCTTCAAGTGCCTGGGATACGATCTGCACATTATGAATACTGGTTAAAATATACCAGTCAACCAATTTGCCATATTCTCAACCACTAAAAGCCAACTATTTCAGAAAATGTGTACAGGAGCTGAATCTAACTATGCTCAGTATCTGCACTGTCCAATATAAGACACACCACATATATAATTTTAAATTTCTAGCAGCCACATTAAAAATGTAAAAAGGAACAGGTCAAAATTTAATGATATATTTTGTTTCACCAACACACCCAGAATATTGTCATTTCAATATGTAATCAATATAAAAAATTGTTACTGAGACATTTTATGCTTTTTTTCATACTAAGTCTTCAAAAACCACACGTATTTTGTATTTAGAGCACATTTCAGTTCAGACCAGCCATATTTCAAGTGCTCAGCAGACCCTGTGGCTAGTCGATACCATACAGCATATTCTCAGTCTGGCTTCTTAAAGTATAACCTGTGGAGCTGAAGAACAGCAGGTTCACAGTTTTAAAGCATCTCCCCACAATATATGCTTAGTTACAAAAGGCAAAAAAAAAACCCAAACAAAAAACCCACTAACTTTACAGTGTAGAAACCTGGCAGACACCCCCTTGACCAAAGATTAAATTAGCATTGCCGGTAATAGAACTAATGAACAGCAGGTGCCTCCTGACTGGACAATGACAAAATTCAACATCAGTCGACGGTGTTCCTGCCAAATGTACATTATCCAAATTTTAAAACAAACACCTGGCCCATATTCTTCAAAATGGTCAAATGTCATGAAATACGAAACAAACTCAGGAACTGTCTCAAACTGAAAGAGATTACAGAGATGTGACATGTACTATTCTAACAACTTTTGTAATAAATATTTTGGGACAATCGGAGAAATCTCAACACATCTAAGATTAAATGATACACCTCTATCAATGTTCTTGATTATAATAATTGCATTGTGGTTGTATGGGAGAATTTTCTATTTTTAGGAAATACATATTAAGTTGTTTAGGGAAAGAGAATCATTTTGTATGCAACTTACTCAAACAGCTCAGAAAAAAATTTATAGAAGGAAGGAAAAGGAGAGAGGAGAAAAGGTAAATTTAATAAAATGTTAACATTCAAGAAATCTAAATGTAGGATATCAGAGTATTCTACTCTTGCCACTATTCTATTCAGTCTGAAATTATGTCAAAATAAAAACTCTTTTTTTTAAGTGTATGCTGGGGACCAGCAACACTGACCCAACCTGGGAGTCTGTTAGAAAACAAAATCTTAGGCACCACTAAGACATACTCTATCAGAATCTGCATTTTAATAAGATTCCCCAGAAGACACCATGGTGTCCCTAACATTAAGATGATGTTCATATGAATAACTCTAAGACAATGTCAATCTAAATATGCACATGCTGTGGCTTAGAATTAATAATATAGTGCGGGGCAAAAGGAGGTTTACAGTTGTTTGTATAGAATACAATAATAAATAATACAAGAATAAAATGTTTTGCTTATAACTGTAAACCTCCTTTTGCCCCATCCTGTATACTTAATGTGTCACTTTTTTTTCCTCGTCTTTCAGCAAAAATGATAAAGGCAAGTCCCAGTATTCAGAAGCATTTCCACACCCTAAAGTTACACAGAAGGGAAATAAACACACAAGTGGCAGGTACACCCTATCGAAGAATGAGACACTGCATTTCCGGATAGTCCAGAAAACCAAAAAATTTTAACTGTAAGAGGCATGTAATAGATATTAAAAATTGAACTGCAATACAGAGACATGCGAATAAAATAGAAATCAGTCTTCCTACTACAACTGCTTTCAAAGTTCTGCTACTGCTATTTTTTTTAAATATTTTATTTATTTATTTTTAGACAGAGGAGAAAGGAGGGAGAAAAAGAGGGAGAGAAATATCAATGTGTGGTTGCCTCCGGTGTGCCCCCCACTGAGGATCTGGTCTGCAATACAGGCATGTGCCCTGACTGGGAACCGAGCCAGTGACCCTTTGGATCGCAGGCCAGCACTCAACCCACTGAGCCACACCAGCCAGAATTGCTACTGCTGTTTCTGTGGACATCAGCATCTTAAAAAAGGTTTCTAAGTCCACATCTTCACACAATTTGACAATGTAAGCAATAAATATAAACTATTATTAACAGACTAGCTTATAGACAAGATGATATGGACATAGGGAATGTGGGGAATCAAGAAATCTTTTAGAAGAATACTACGTTTTTCTGGAACACTACTAACAATTATTAACTGTGTCAGCGAGCAGGAAATAGCTTTACATTCCAAAAGACTCATACTGTCTACCCAGGAAATCTTCGGGAAATCTGTTTTTAAGATCCCAATATGAAAAGACAACAGAATGTGTGCAAGGAAGAAAAACTCAATAGAGCACTGTTTCTTACAGAACTTGCAGATGTATAAACGAGTAGGGCAAGGGAATGAGACTGTGACCATGCATGAGCCAGTTACCATCTAACAGAAGCAATGAAACAGGGGTACTCAGTAAACTGCACTGAGAGGGTAGGGACTGTGTGCACCCTGTTCACCTTTGTGTGGTAGAGTCAGTGCTTATTGTCCAAGTATACGAAATCTTCCAGAACACAGCAGTTTTTCCCACGATCAATGTAAACAACATGAAACAAGTATGAAGGGTCACAGTAAGTGAAATCCACATGTGAACAGGTAAGATATGCACCTCAGTTTCAACATCAAGCTGAATAACCACTAAGTAAAAGTAGTTATAAAATATGCCAGGATGATATGGAGCTACTATCTTCAAGTAGTAACAACAGAGAAAACAAAGGCCAAAATGAAATTAAACTCTTTGGAGTACAGAAATCCTTTAAGGTCTTCGAATAATGTCCTTGACAAGAGTGCCTTTTGGACTCCATTTAAGAATTCTATGAAAAATTTGTACCTATGTGAAGTGACGGATGTTAACTACACTTATTGTTGCGATCATTTCTCAATATATACAAATATCAAATCATTATGTTATATACCTGAAATATATGTTATATGGCAATTATATCACAATAAAAAAAAAGAATCCTGGTTTGATAGCTCAGTTGGTCAGAGCATCGTCCTGATAGGCCAAGGTTGGGGTTCAATCCTCAGTCAGGGCACACACAAGCAGCAGCCATTGAATGCATAGATAAGCAGAAGAAATCAATGTTTCTTCCTCAAATCAAGAAATAAGCAAAAGAGTCCTATGAAGTTATTAATCTCTTTAGAAATCCTTGAGTTTGAGTGTTACTTTCTTACCAAATAAACCCAATAAAATCAAATGCTTTTCAGAAAAATTCTTTCTCTAACTACAAAAAAAAAATTATTTTTAATTATTTTTAATTAAAAAAACTTTTTAATTTTAGAAGGAAGAGAAAAAGAAACCACCACAGGGCAGAATACTTAGTGCTGTGTGTACTAGGTAATTCTAAAACTGGACTTTGCTTTCTCCAGAGTTCAGGAAGATGAAGCTGCAGAGGGTATCAAAGGCCATCACAAAGGCCCACCACTCCTTAGTCCCCCTCCTGAAGTCCTGTGACCGAGGAAAAGGCATTGGAAGGGATGCCCTGTCTGTGATTCATTACCGACTAATAAAGTTTGTAGAATTCTAAGCATTAGGGACTTCTAGTTAACGAACTACATCACCCTCAACCTAAGAGTAAAACGGCTAAAAAACTCCATAGGGGAAAGAAAGCGCACACAAAGCCGTAGGCATGGTGAAATCTACAAGATGGTTTAAGAAACTAAATTTTACTACATGTGGGTTTTTGTCAATCTCTGCCTACTTCAGAACAAAACAAAAGAATAAGACATTATTGTTTTTAATTTCAGTAACCTATCAATTCATTTTTACCTAAGTTTAGCATTTATAGTTCTGATAGAAAATTTGTAATTATCTCCTTAAGTGCTGTACTTTATTTTACTGAAGCACTAAATTTTGTAAGGTATACAGAATACACTGCTTATATCCTAAATCAAATTATGTACATTTGTAAGTATTTTAGGTTTTGTGTGTATTTTAACTATGCCACACTCACCCAAAAACATATTCTCCATCTCTATTCTTTTCAGATTTTTGGTTGTTTTATATGTGTGAGCACTTCATATAATATCAAATTTAATAATTACATTATTTTCATAATGGACACATCAGCCACTTTTGGAAGGGATTTTATGTATCTTATACAAAAGACACAAATACAATAGAACCATTAAAATAAGGGTAATAGAATAAAAGCTAGCCAATGAAAAAGAGAAGAAATGTAGTATTTAAACAACAAAGTGACATTAAAGTATGGCAATATCCCAAACCCTCAAAATTCCTGGCATTCCCTCGTGACTTACTTGTTTTATTCCACAGCTCTCGCTGGTATTTGACAGGTTCATTTCTACGTTTTTCAAATTCAAATGAATTATCCTGTACGGGGGTGAAAATACGATTTTTACAAAGGTATTAAGGAAACATTTCTTAAAATTTATCCTCCTTTTCACAAGCATTCTGAGTGTTTCAAAATGTGAACATGTTTGGATTCCCTCAGGGTGATTCAGCAATACAAGTTTTCAAATCTTTTTTCCTTAACGTACCATGATACACAAGACAGCCCTTCCCTGTATCCCAGTGATTCTCAATGGGCGGAGAGGGAAGAGCTCAACCCCCATCCCTCAGGAGAGGCATATAAAAATCACGGGGATAATAAAACAAATTGAAAAAGTTTCCCTAACTTCCCATATCTAGTTGAGACTCACAGCCAGAAAATTTTGTATTAGGCTGAATCATATGAAATTACCACTTTTCATAGATCACAGAAGAGCCCAACATTGAGAATTTCAACAGTTCAACCTAAATACCTATCATGCTTATATATTTCAACACCTATACATCTTTGTGTTAGAGTGTAAAGGTATGAAAGAAACTACACACCTTCAAATCAATGTAGTGCTACTCTACATGACATAAGCTTTGCCGTGAAATTCTTCAGGTCCCTTCTAAATGTAGTTGACATTTTCACAGTTAATAATCCTATTTATCTTATAACATGCAAAACAATTTTGGAAAAGCTACAGGTTTCTTAGAAAAACTACAGGTTTTTCTTGGTCTTCAAATCTACCTAACACAGGCATAGAGATCAGCAATAACCCTGTATCTGGCTATTTCATCTGAGAGAGAGACAGACAGAGAGACACACACACACACACACACACACACACACACACACACCCCACCCCCACCCCCACCCCCACCCCCATTTACAGGCAATGACAAGGTCGCCAGCAAATGGTTGTGACTGGCATCTTTTCTTTATTCACACAGTTGCCACCTATACTTGAGGTGCTTGTTTCTTCTTGTCCATACCGAAAATTATTTTTTTAACAGTAATTGTAATTTAGCCTTGCATCTTGTCAAAATATATTCATTACATTCACTGAAAACCTCTGGTGCTAAAGAAGCCAGCAAAGGACTTGGCTTCATGGCAACTACTTAGACACTGCCCTTAAGGGGAGGAGAGATGGGAAAGAAGTTGTGGGTTCCGGGGAAGAGGATGTCATGGGGGAGGGAGGAAGATCAGTGAGGATATTCCTCATGGGCAGCCTGTGCAACAGCGTCCACCTCCTCCCTTTGCAGCCCTTGAATGTGGACAAGCTTCCCCAGACCCTATGACCAGTTCAAGAACAGCGGTATGATGACAGGCTCACACATGAAATTCCCTCATCCTCACATCCCTCCTCACACCACTACTACTAATTCCTCTGCTCTCAGACACCAAGTTCTCCTAAGGAAATCTATAAACTGATAAATGAGTCTATTACAAATCTCATCTGAGCCCTCACTGCTTTTCAGGAATCCTTTAATCAATCTCGTAACTGCCTCTCAAAATCCCTAAGTAGCAATTTCCAACTTCACCCCAATCCATTTAAATGATTTCTCCCTATCTTTACATGAGCAAAAAATAGTTTTTTTGAAATAAGAAAAATCACTTCTACAAACTGGATTTGGAATTCTTTTCCTTTTCAGAATTCCACAGATTTAGTTTTTAGGATCATGTGAGAATTGTTACCATAACCAAATACAATTAAGTCACCCCTCAATCATGTTATAGAAAGCTGTTATAGTTAATTAAATCACATAACCACTCCCCCTCAAAAAAATACCCTGAAATTTTTAAACTGTAAAAACTATACTCACCACTGTAAGCTCTTTACCAGCTGCTTTACGGAAGGCTTTAGTCCACCTGACCTTGCGAGGATTGCGCTTCTTTTTAAAGTTTTTATGACACTTGGATTTACAGAACCTGAACACCTACAAGAAAAGTTAAAATAGTGAGAAGTCAATATTAAAATTTCTTTGCCCTGGCTGGTGTGGCTCAGTGGATTGAGTGCTGGCTTATGAACCAAAAGGTCGCCAGTTCAATTCCCAGTCTACAGCACATGCCTGGGTTGCAGGCCAGGTCCCCAGTATGGGACACGTGTTGATGTTTCTCTCCCTATCTTTCTCCCTCTCTTCCCCTCTCTCTAAAAATAAATAAATAAAATCTTTAAAAAACAAAAACAAAAACTTCTATCATAGGATGTTACCCTTAATCAGACAAAATATACCGTGAAGTCTAAAAAGTGACATGTTTCTCTCTCACAATTGCTTCTACTTACACCACCATGTAGGTATGTTTGAATATATCAGATTGAAATGAAACCAAACTATATTTTGACTATCAAGCATCATCATAACTAAAAGCTGAAGGCCCTGAAAATATGTTAAAAACTACCATTTTTATAGAATGTTCTGGAATCAAGAGTAGTTTTAAGGAAAAGTCATTTATTTAAATCATTTCCCATTTCAGAGCAATTCTCAAAAGTCACTTTCTACATACCTCAAACCGCTGTTCTAAAATCTCTTCCGGTTCTTTCCATCCTTGCAAAAAATAATTTCAAAAAGGCAACTAAAACTGGCTATACATTTGTTTCCTAAAGTATTCATATATCTACTAGGAAGATTAGTCACCACTTTAATCCTCCATCTTCATTCCAAATGATGTGATCTTTCAACAGGGCTTACCATTTAATGATACTTCAATGTGCTCCTGAAATGGCTTATTGGGACTCACTGTTATGTCTAAAATGCATTATTTTGCTATTTTGTAATGTTTTAGAACACATTACTATTTGTGTTAATAAGGAAAATCTGAAGAGAAAAAGTAACTTTTTGAGCTGAATTATCACATGTAGAAGATGTGACCCATTTTTAAAAACAGGTCAAAATGAGGAATAAACATTTCAAACTAAGTAGGCCTATGTATATATCACAAGCCAAAATACTTTTCATTTTATGTATACTTTGTTCTATGGGAAATTACACACTAGGACATACGTTTCTTAGAAATACTAGGTTAATCGGATCTAGGCCAATACGGCCTGGAGAGCCGCTTTCTGAGAGACTTGAACAAAAGTATGTCTACATTCTTGAATTAATTTCAAAGTAACTAGAAAATACAAGGACTACTGTGGTCTCCTGGGGTAACTCACTATGAAATTATTATCAGTAAAATTTCTTTGTGTATTTTCAACCCAAAGTACCGAGAATCTTTTTAAGTAAAAGCCTCCTATGTTTAATACCTACTAGGTAACTCCTAGACAAATCCCCATCTCTAAAATACAGCTAATGAAAGATTTAAACATTTCCTCTCCTCACGTTTGATGTTTTGGAATGGTCTCCTCAATGCCAAAAAGAACCAATGGCCTGAAGTTACATGGAAGTCTACCTGAACTCCATACCTAACACATCGTCTGAAAATTACAATGAAGTATCTGAAGTGACCAGAGTCACTGGAGATGGGAAGGGGAGCCAATCAGCAGATAAGGTGCATCTGCTTTGTGCCTGATGTTGTACTAGGTGCTAGGGATATAATAACTAAAACATTAATCCCTACCTTGAGAACTTAGGCAAGCAACTTAAGTGACGCAAAGTCTCACTTTGCAAATAAGGGAGATCGCAATCAGACTGGAATATTAAAAATGGGATAAAGCTATATATAATAATCATGCATAAAATACTATGGAAACACAGTGAAGTAGTTAAATCTACAGTGGGGTAGATGGTGGATGGATTATGTGTAAGATTAAACTTCACAGGCTCAAGTTTCCCTTTTAATCTAGTCCTCTAGCATCACCCTCAGTCTTCAGCGTGCGAACAAACGGTCTCAAATCTCACTCAAAGTCCTTCAACCCTTTCTAATTTCACTAATTCAACATTTATTAAGCACTCATTAATGTTGTATGAACTTTTCCTGCTTGCAAACTATGTGAAAATACAAAGCATTAACACTAATTCTACCGTTAAGAAGCTACCTAAGAAGTGTAAGAGAGGAAGTGTGTATGAAAGATGGCCTCAAAAGCTAAGAGCAGAAAGGCAGAAAGACTGGTGAGGAGGTTGGAAAAGTGACAAGCGCCTAATCTGACCCCAGGGCAGGAAAAGAGAAAGAAAGCAGAGACGCCACCATCCTTTGCAAAGGCAAAATGAATAGGACTTAACAACTAGATATAAGAGATGAAATACTCCAAGATGACCCTTACATCTAGCAGATAACAGCAGTATTAACTCTGGAGACCAAAATGATCTGAGATAATAAGGAACAAACTCTCAGTGCATTCACTATTAGGTACAAACAGGATTACCCTATCAACAGGAAAATTCAGACCTGGACTTAAGGAGATACAGATTGGGCTTCATCAATACATAAATTGAGACACAGGCACACATACCTCAGTCGACTGCACTTCACAGGTGTCCTATGTTTTACAAATTGAAGGAAGACCCTCTACCAGCAAAGAGATTACAACTCTATTGTGGTGCTCTGGCACTGGCCCTACCATATCCCTGAGGTGTGCCTGTACTTTCTCTTCTTCATTAGTGCTTTAGGGCCTCCACTATTTACTCCCCCAATCAATTTTGTTCTGGATCCACGGGTTTTTCCCTGTCCTGGCTAGCATCATAGACTTTATTAACTTGGACTTCCAGTGCTTGCCAGATCAACACCCAACTCTAGGTAGCGTCCACAATCTGTTGTTCTAATTTCAACACCCAGCTGATAAGCATCAAGTATCATAAAATCATGATGACCACATCATCTTCAAAGCCATATTGCCCACCATGAATATGACTCCAACCTGGCAATGATTCGTTTTATAAATTATTTTTATCACGTCCCTGAAAGCAAGTATTCAAAATCTTCCACATGCTCTTTCAAGTTCCCAAGCATAGCTGTGGTCCCTCATTCTTCATCAAGGACACTTGCTCCTAGTTTAATGAGCTCAGTATCTTCCAATTATAATAAAGATATAAAGGAAATAAAGTAGGAACTGTAATTCTTTAGCATGTCAGAATCACCCCTAGGGGTGATTTTCCAATTCAATGGATCTGGTGGAAACCATAAATCTGTATTGCTTTGGTTTTGTTTTCACAAGTTCCCAGTGATTCAGAAGCAAATGTAAGAGAGGTAAAATTCCAAGAAACAATGTGTTAAAGAAACAGAGGAATGAGATTCATTCTGAAATGTAAAGGAAAATTAATGTATCATTCACAAAATCTTTCACAACCAGGCCTTACGGTATATCTATGTGTATATCTTATGTTTTATAAACTAACCTTTTTGCATATAGTCTTATATTTGTATGTATAGCCCCACCCCAAGCCTCTATCACCACCCACAATACAAAGAGATGTAACTGCTTTGTTCTGTGCCTTTGCTCAAACTGCTCGCTTTCCTTCCACCAAGAACGCGCTCTCCCCATTTTCTCATGCAAAATCCAAGACCCAGAATAAATGTCATCTCCTTCTGGGCCTTTCTATATTAGACCCTCCCCAACTCACTTCCAATAACTTCATAATACGAAAGTCTACTATTAAGCCACATGCAACATTTCTAACAACCTCTACACTCTATGGACAGTTCCAAGCCTTACTGATCTCTATCCTATGGACCTTAGCAACGACGCTTGACTGGGCATACGTTCAACAAAGTTTTCTGGTTTGAAGAACTTGGCCCACGTACTAGTGGGGCCACAATGCCCAAGCTAATCTCCCTGATGCCCCGTGGGGGCTGACTGGGCCCGCTCCTGAAACTTGTCGCAGCCAAACCTCGCCTCAGGACAACCTGGTGTCCAGCTCCGTTTCGGACGCCCTCCAGGAGAAACTCCCCAAGTAGGAAATCCAATCCGGAGCTCCTGGCAAAGCCTCCCTCTCTCGGGGTGAGCACGGGTAACCTGGCCAAACGCCGCAGGCGCAGAGGAACGCCGAGCGGGCTAGGCCGCGGGAGCGCAGTGGTGCGGGCTCTGGCCTTGGCCACCTCACCTTGCAGTCGTTGCGGACGAACATCATGCCGTGGCCGGGGTATATGGGCCCCGAACAGAAATAACACTTCTCGATACGCATGTTGAACGCGCGTGGAGACCCACCACCCAAACGCTTACTTTGAAAGGAAGTGACGTGACCCCGTCACAGGAAGTGATTCTCTTCTGAGTTCCCGACTCGGAAGCGGTGAGCATCCTGGCTCCTGCGGGGGGCCGGTGGAAAGCAATGCGAACCTAACGGCGCCCCCGCGTGGCCACGCCGGCAAAAACGCTGTCGTTTGGCACGGGCGCAGAGCTGCACAGCCGGCCTGGCCGCCCTCTGGGAAAGTGAACGGTGGCTCCCCTCTGCATTCTGAACTCGCTCTGCTTCCTGAGCAGGGCATAGTTTTCGACTCTACCGTACGCTGTTAGGGCAGCCTTTACTCTTCTTTAGTTTGCGCTTTGCCCCGAAAGAGCTTTCCACACATCGAGTTGTCTGTAGCGGCTCATTTCTCCACCCCCCTCCCTAGCCCCTGATTCCAGTCCCAAGCCCACCTCGCATGACGTCCGCTGCGAGAACCTCTGCTACTCCGCACACTACCTGCAACGGAAGCAGTTGAGTCTCCGAGTCTGGGTGGATTTTACCAGCAATGACTTGTGCTGGTGTTCTTTACCTTTGCTCCTGCCCCCTTCTAAGCGATACACACATGTGGCAGATAAAAACCCAAATGTTTTCACGGGAAACTAAGGTTGCTTCCCCAGACCTCCAGTACTCCCCGCCAGAGGCAATCAGTTCCGTTTATTACCTGCCAGAGAGTTTCTCTGCATGCGCGTGTCTCCATTCTCCCTTCCTTATAACACTAATAAGCATCCTAGTCACGCTTTTCTGCTGTTATCTGTCTCCCCTCATTGCAGTGTGAGCTCCGTAAGGGCAGAGATTCTTGTGGTTTTGTTTACAGCTATATCTTACTGCCCAGAATAGTTCCTGGCTCATAAATAAGCATTGAGTACACATGTTATTATCAATGAACACGTAACATTCTTTTTCATAGTTATATATATGCAATTGTATGAAGGTATTTGAATTGGTTGCCTATGGGTAAACAATTCCTATCTTTTAACATAATAACCACCTATACTGATATATTTACTTTTTTTCAAAAAAAAGTTTATATAGAACTGCTAGGTCAGGGGATATGTACAGTTTTAAAATTTGGTAAGTAATACTAAATGCCTCCCAAAAGTTTTTACCAATAACAGCCAATAAGTTGTCTATTCACCACCTCTTTATCAAAGGTGATTTTGCCAATCTAAGGTTAAATTTTTTCTATTATTATTTTAACTTGCAGTTAAATATTAAGTTAGGAATCTTTCCAAATGTTGAAATCTATTTGTTCTCTGAATTGCCTATTTATATCCTTCAGTTTTCCATTGCGTTGTTGATTTTTTTATTAGTACTTTACATATTAAGATTTTCTCTCTGCTGACAAAAATTATTTCCTAACTTACAAATATTTTAAAACTTCCTTATAGTATTTTCCATGTAGAGATGTTTTATTTGTATGGATCCAGATTTATCCAATCTTTTATGGTTTTAAATTTGGTGTTTTGCTTGGAACTTCATTTTCCTCTTCAAAATTGTTTTTCCTAACTTTTCTCCATTATTTTATAGTATCATTTTTCACATTTTAACTTGCAACTACTCTGAAATTTACTTGAGTGTAAATGATAAAAATAGTAATCGAGTTTGGAACCTCCCTCCCTCCCCCTGCCGGCCAAGTACCATATGTTCACTTCTCTATGGATCTACCTTTGGACTCTGCTTTGTTTGATATATTTGTCTATATGCCTGTTACAAAGTGTTTAAATTATTGTAATTTTTATTTTTATTAATTTTTTTTGTTTTCTGTGACAGTTGTCCCGATTTCCACCCCCCGTTGCTCTCCCCTGCCCTGCCCACTCTCCCCCATAGCCAATCCCCACCCTGTTGTCCATGTCCATGGGTCATTCATGTCTGTTCCTTGACTAGACCCTTCTCTGATTGCTGTCAGTCCGTTTCTTGTTTCCATGCCCTGGTTCTATTTTGCTCATTTGTCTGTTTTGTTCATTAGATTCCTCTTATAGGTGACAACATATGATATCTGTCTTTTGCCACCTGGCTTATTTCACTTAGTATAATACTCTCCAGTTCCACCTATGCTGTTGTGAAATGGAATTTTTTTTTAATAACTGGGTTTACCTGAAGTCTTCCTCTCCCTTCCTTCCTTCACCTTCTTATTCTTTGTTTATCTGGCCAGTCTTCACAGTTTATTTTTTCATTTAAACTCTAGCATCAGTTTGTCTAGTTATAATTTACAAATACATATAATTTTTCCTTTTACCTGGTACTTACACTTATTTTTCTTGTCTAATTATTTGACTAGTAATTCCAGAACAATACTAAATAACAAAGGCAAATACCAGAAAGTTTAGTAATAAACATTTGCCCAACACCCCATTGTCAACCAAGAGACTGAAAATTATTTTATCCTTGTTCAATCTTCTCACCAGTCTTCCTAATCTCTTTTACACAGATCCTTCACAGTTCTCTGTTTTATCCTGCTACTTGAACAGGAAATGTCCTGCCTTTCTCACCTACAGGATCACCCAGCTTTACCCTCTTACCTTCAATGTCAGAGTCCACATCCCTTATCCATATTTTTAATCCCTTACCTTAAGGCTTCATCTGAGATTTTGCTCCTTTTGGCCTATGAGCATACTCAGTGCTTCACTTTAGGTTGAATGGATGAGTAGCCAGTCTTATAATATTTTTTTTCCTTTCAATTAAAATAGAATACAAGAGAAAGGGGAGGAAGGCATGTGTTTCACATCCAACAAATTGAATTGAAATCTTGGAAATACTATTTCTTTTATGCATCCTGCTTGAGAATTATGATTCTTAAAACTGCAGGTGTATGTCTCTTATCATTACTGAAAATTTCTCAGCTATTTCCTTTTCAAATATTGCCTCTTCCTTTATTTTCTCTAATTTCTCCTCCTAGAATGCTTGTTAGACGTAAGTTGGAGCTTTTATCTTTCCTCTATATCTCTTAGTCTCTTTAATACTAACTCTTCATCTCTCTCTGCTAAATTCTGTGTAATTTCCTCTGACCTAGCTTCTGGTTCATCAATTCTCTCTTCAGCCCTTTCAAACTTGCCATTTAACTTCTGACCACTTAGTTTTGAATATCAATGGCTGTATTTTTCACAGGTGAAGTAATTGCTTTAATTCAAACCAGTGTCATATCTCTAATAATGTCTTTTTTCTTTTCCCAGATGTTTCAGTTACCTTTATGTTTGTAATTACTTTAACCATTTTTATTTTGTGGTATCCATTTAATAAGTATATTACTTGAAGTTCTTCATGCCCAAATACTGCTCTTTATGGTTTATTGGCCCTTACTCATGGTTGGGGAAGGAATGAGTTGTCATTTTAAATTGTGAGTCCGTGCTTAGTAGGGCATTTTCTATAAGAATCCTATAAGGTCTGGGTCAAGATATTCACTCTGAAAAGATTTTGCTTTGCTTCTGCCAAGTAATCCAGATATATCATTAACCACAAATCACTTTGTTATTAAGTCCTTAATCAATTTCTTAGGTTAAACATTCCCAGAAGAAAAAGGTAATATAAACTCAAACCTGTGTAAAAACAGGCTTAGTGTTGTAAATTCTCAGGGGAGACTAAGGCATACTGGACCCAAGCTTTGTGTGTTTGGGAGTAGAGGGTTCTCCATTCCAACACACTACTTCTACCAGATCCAAGGCTTTCTCTCCTAATGGCATATAGTCATTAAAACAAAGCACCTTGATTACTGATGCTGCCAAAAGCAAACCACACTCAGTATCAGGTTGTTGTAAGTTCCCTCTGTGGCTGCCGTTTTGGTTGCTGCTGTCATCTGAGTTGTGGAGGGAGAAGAGGGGTAATCTTAGGGTATTTCCCTTACTTACTTGAGAGGTCAACAGTACATTTAAATAATATGTTCATTATATTTTAGCCAACATTTCCTAAGTGTTTTATAGTGGGAGAATTATTCAGTTATATAGTCACTATTATATAGTCATATTCTCCAAAATAGAGATTTTTCCATTTATACAACACCAAACAAAACATTCCTTATTGAATATTTCTTGAGTAAATTTTAACTATCTTAACATTAACTTCAAAAGATCAGAATGTTTTTCTCAGATTTCCTAATGTCTCATAAGCCAATATGGATTTACAACATGTGAGCCTTTCTAAATGTTTTTGAAGCTGTTTTTAATTTTCAAAGTCTATCCCTCTATCTTTGAGCATTAATAGTGACTCCTATTTTGAAGACTTTTTCAAAAAAAAAAAATCTTGCTGCCTCTTATGTACTTTATTCAATCAGCCAATAACCATTCGAGTAATGTGTACCAGACATGTTTCTGGGTGGTGCAAAACAATTTTGGAGCTTCTATCTTAGTAGGTGGAGACAAACATATATCAAATGGTGATGAATGACATGAAAAGCAAAGCTGGACAACAGGTCAGGAAGTAACAATCTGGTTGGGGCCATGAAGGAGAGCAATTAGTATTTTATATAAACTGGGAAGTAAAGTCCTTTTGGACAAGGAGACATCTGAATAGCTTCAAAAGATGGGAGAGAGAGCCATGGAGATGTATGGAAGACTAGTTTTCCAGACAGAGAGAATGGCAGATATTCCTGAGGCAGCAGCATACTTCATTGCTCCCAAGCCAGTGTACCTGCAGGGCAGTGAGCGAAGGGGACACTGGTAGGAAATAGGGCAGCGTTCCTCCCCCTACACGCTTCCTCCCCATCCAGTCTATTACTATACCCTTCCCAAGGTCTCTTGAATCCATCTCTAAGACTCGATCTCTGTTCAGGCCCTTAACCAGCCTTGTTTAGTTCATCTGACATTGACTTGTGGAATACTTCCCACACTGTAGGTGCTCCACAAATGTTTGTTAACACCATATTTGGTTTACTTTTCCAGAATATGTTGTCTTGGCTGGCCCCTCATTAAGGACCTCATGGATTTGTGTCCCTGAATTTGGTTTCCTTTAGCATTATACCTCTGGTTTGAAACAGTGTGATGGGAAAGAAAGTTATGTTCACACACAAGCTTGAGAGATTAGATCATTATTTTATTATAAGCTCAGTTGGCACAATGTTCACTGAAGATACAATTCACTTTTACACAGGCTTATAAATAGAAAAATACATTGACTCACAAAAATATGGCACTTCAATAACAAATTTAAATAAAGGTTTTACAAAGAGAATACAGGTTATTTCAATAATTAAAGTTGGTTTGTGTATGTGTACTGTATCACATATACACATATAATTGTATACCATGTTTAAGGCAAATGGAATTTGTAGCTACTCATTTGGTTATTGAAAATTGAGAACATTCAAAGTTATCTTTTTAATTACACAAATAGACCATATTAAATGTTCCCTGATATGTAGATGTAAAAACATTATTTACTCTACTGACACTTAATGGCAACTTTAGAAGGCACTACTTGTGATTACAATTCTGCTCCTGCCATACAATTCAAACACGAAGGATGCAATGACTTCTTTAGGATTTTAAAAAGGTTCTCATTTTAAGGACAGAAATACATAACATCTTAGTAAACACAGCTAAGTTTTTAAGGGAGTTGTGGGAAGGCAGTGGCAAAAAACTGGATAGGTACTCAGTAAAAATCTGTTTGAAAATAATCGTGTAAGATCAATTACTTCCCATAATATTTGTGTTTTTCTTATTATACTTCTGCCAAACATTTGCCTCCACAAAATACATTCATTTTTATTCTTTATTAATACCATAATGTATTTCTAAATAGCTATTAACTACTTTGGACATTTTAATCTGTTTTAACAACTTTAGTAAATAAGAATTTTCCCCTTTGACCTTTATAAACTGCCATGAAGCATATTTTAATTTAAAATTGAAGATTTCAACCATCTTCAATTTTGTAGAAAGACATGATGACGATGTAGAAGAAATACATGACCTTGGCAAGACCTAGCAAGTACCGGTGCCCATGATATCAATGAAAAATACAGGCTAGGCTCAGTGGGCTGAGTGCTGGCCTGCGAACCTAAAGGCCACCAGTTTGACTCCCAGTCAGAGCACATGCCTGGGTTGTAGGCCAGGTCCCCAGTTGTGGGGTATTGTGAGAGGCAAATGATGGAAAAATACAGGCTATATAGAACATTTAATTTTTCTTATATTGAGCTAAAGTACAAATGTAACTGCTTAAATATAAACATCTATCTTCCACTAAATAGCAAATAAACAATTTACATAATTAAGAACTAATTCCTTCAATTCCACCAATGTAAAAAGAAAACAATTTGCAAATATCAATAATACAGTTCTTGATGGTAAAGACAGAAGATCAGTAGTTCATGTGCTAATTGAAAGTGCAGTCTGAGGAAGCCAGACAAACATTAAAAATGTGAAGAAAAAGATGCTAAATATTCAGTTATTACAAATAATTTCAGCATGAGCACCAGCTATGTTCAGATGTGGCCAGCATGTAGGTCAAGTATAAATGCACAGATCACAGTGAACTAAAGCCATTAAATCTAGTTCCCTGACCCTTCAATCAACCCTTCAAAGCAATGGGCTTATGGCAGGGAGCCAGAAGCCCCACTCTTCAGTTGCTTATGTTACATTTAAGCCAGCCCTGCCCTCACCCCCAATCCCTTTCCCACCGACAAGAATCACAGTGAGTATGTAATTGGTCGATCCAGTTTATTCAAGGTCAATAGATATGGCCGTAATTTGTCCAATGTTCATTTTAAAGAGAATGCTTACGTAAATTAATATTCAGGGACACTGAACAGATGTTTGTGTATATTTTTGTTTAATATTTAAGCAGTTTAGGTGGCACTTTAAAAGGTTACCTACAGTACAAGTAGGATAGTTTAATTTGGATTAAAGGCTGGTAGTTTCATAATTGCATCTAAGATCTTGACTGTGAGACACTGGGCTGATCTATGTTAAGGCAGGTGATGGTAACTCCAGTCCTTCTTCATAATACATGCACTCCTCTGTGGCTGCAAAATCCTGAATCCTTGAATGATCTACTGCCATAGGCTAAGGATTTATAAGGCACTTTTGGCTATGTGCAATAGTTCTCCTAACTCTCAGGCTGAATCTTAAAGAAATATTTACAAAGCTGCAGCAAATTCATTTTAAAACTGGATGCTTTATTGATTGGTCTAATTGGGATGGTGAGAAGGAGTTTGTACACAATGCCCATTAACCTCGCTCTGTGCCGTGTATCCCCCATAGAGAAGATCACAGGCATGGGCCACTTTAATTATTGCGGAGCTCACTTGACTTTTCAACAGCCACATGCCCCCTTCTGCTTTGCTTCACTTAACTGATCTGTAGAGGGGTGACCATTAGATCGCACCACTCCTTCAGGAATCCAGGACTTGTCCACACACCGTTCCATCCGCTTCATTATCAGGTCCAGGAGCGTCTCGATTGCTTGGCTAATGTTTGTCCCAGTGGCAGCGCTCGTTTCAAAGTAGGGGATTCTGGAAGACAGAGACAACTCGGATAATGACTTGCAGAGGGAAAGAACGGTGAGCTTTGCCCTCGAAAATTCAACTTAGAGGACAAATACGAGCATACAAGACGACAAAAGCATGTTACCACCACACGTCCATTTAAAAAATAAAAAAGACAATAAAATAACGGACACTGCATTCCTAACAGAGACGTAAAACTTCTGAAAGTTTTTATTCCCATTTTGCAGATGATTAAACTGTGGCCTGGGAAGACGAAATAACTTGACCAATTTCATAATGCTAGAAAGGAACAGAACGAGTAGTGGAACCTACAGCTGCTTGATTCCAGTGTGACCAAATTAGCCATAGGCTTCACTGGTTCCAAATGTACATACATTATATGGGGATTTCCAGAACAGATAAATCTCTCTTACTCGCTGCACATGGGGAAATTTTTTTTAAAAAGCTGGCACTAGAGGGAAATCTGTGGTCACTGGTTGTGTTTGCCAAACGCTTTGCTGCTTGTCAACTCCAGGTGGTTTTCCTGGACCACCTACCTGAAGGTACTCTGAGTTCCCCATCTCAGAGTTCCTCCGGGATATATGTCTTCAGTACATCTGCTTTGTTATCCAAAGACCTGCGGTATATGTGTAATTTTTTAAATACCTCACAAAGCTTTATTTCAAAACTATAAGGCTGCTTTTCCCATAATCTCATGATGGCCAGGCCTTATACATTTGAACTAGTCTTTACAACAGGGTTAACTAATACACGGAAATAGTCTTTACAACAGGATTAATCAACTGCCAAATTCTTCCTACTTTTTTAAATAAAATCATGAAAATAGGAATAAAATTGTATTTCCTCAAACTGTTGATTTCATTTCTACCACTTAATAAGGAATCTGACCAAAATGCTCTCAAATGTAAAAACTCCAAAAGAAAAAAATTTTAACACTTCAGGGAGTCCTGCAATTGAATTCAGTAAAGTATTTCTTACATTTATATGAATTTAAAAATCCCCCACTAATACTTTTTTTAAAGAATGTCTTTGTTTTCCTGTGTTCTCCTAGCATGTTAACACTGCACCAGTGGCTCTGATTACAATTCCAGTTACCCTGGTATTATTTCCTGACTAGAGGCAGCTTCCGCATGAGAGCTTTTACAGATTTTTTTAAACCATCTTTGTGCCTTACAGATGCTTTCAGAACTGTTCTCCTTTTTACATCACTAAGAGGCAGGTCAGGGTGTCCATGTGTAGGGATGGAAGGCTATTTCTCCACTGCAATAGTCTTATCTGCACATTTTCTACAGGACTTGCAACTTGACTTCTGCAATTCTCTCCTGTTTTGCTATGGCTTCTAAAAACTGGTTAAGGAACTATGACTTCATATCAGCATTTATCTCTGCATCTGTGTTTCACAAGAGATGGTTACTCCAATGATTCTCTCATGCCTGTACTGACAGTCCTTCATATACTGACTCTAAAATATCTCAATCAGAGAAGGGTCTCTGCCAGGCAAATTACATGGCCTTTGTAGTTTTTCAACCTCCCGCCTGTCTACCACTTCAGCTACTGTCAAATCTTTTTTTCTCCCTCTTTATCGGTTGTCTTATCCACAAAATGAAGATAATACATCTTTTCCATCTTCCCTTCCTGGTCTCATGCAATATTGGATTAGCAAGCATTAAGAGGGCATCCTTTATGGGCACTCACTAAATAATTATTTATCACGTACCCATGATGTTATTGAGCCAAGTCTCAGGGACAGTTTGTGATGTTGCCATTGTTACAGAACTTGAATTTTGGATTAAGAATTCTCAAGGCTTACCTACTTAACATTTTCTTCATTATGCTCTTTCCCAGCTATACCCATGAAATATCATTTAATGTCTACAGAGCATTACTTAGACCTAAGGAGAAGGCTCGATCACTCTGTTGCCAATTAGAAATAAACTGTTTCATGGGAAAGCAACTGGAAAATGAATCTCTCCCTCCAAGAATAATGGGCTGAAATTGAAAGTACAAAATAAAAGTAGTCAAATAGTAAACTTTCTTGTAAGTACTAATCGTAATAATGTGCATCTAATTTTTTAAATTTCCACAAATTCAATTATAAATGTCTTTACAACTCTAGAGTCCTCAAACTCACTGAATACCTCAACTGACTCTCCACTAAGCTCTTTCAGCTTTCCATAGTTTCTTCCCTTTTGGCTCCTGAAAATTACCTCATAGTCATTGTTAAGGCATAAATGAGAAAACATGGTTAGAAATACTATACACGGAAATTACAGACAATTTAGACAATGGTCAAGAGCCATAACCTCTAGAACCAGGCTTCCTGGATGCAAATCTAGTGCTTGTTATCAATCTCTAACACTGGCAAACTATTCATCTCAGCTGCTTCATCCGGAAAGTAGATAATATCAGGATCTTCTTATAAGGATAAAGTAAGTTGACATTTAAAGCACTCAGACTGAAATCTGACATGTAGGAAATGTGTCATTTTTTGACAAACATGTTATTGATAAGTATTTCTTACTTCCAACACAGAAATGGGTTGGGTGCATAAGTTTGGTTGTGATTCCATTGTTTAAAACTCAGAACACATAGAAATGCTGTCACTGAATCATGAAAAGTCATAGCTCGAAGAGCTATGGCAACATTATAAACATTAAATTCCCAGACTAGGCCACTAGTGTTGATTTAATCCGCAACGTAGCTGATCGACAGTACCGCCCTAAGGTTTGATTCCTGGGACCATGCCTCCCTGCACCAGAGATCGCTCACACAGACCAACCTGTCCCAGTTAAAGCGCTTCATGCTCCAAGGCACTCACCTCCCTTCACTCCTAACTGAGCCCCTCATTCCCCCAAGTGATCACCACTAAATGCTGACAGAAAATGGATCTTACTTTACCGATTAATACTCAAGTAGAAATGACTTGATGTCTCAAGCAGAGTTATGAGCTACTGTCTAATGTTTACTAATTTAAGCAAACACTTAATTGGTGGTATTTCAGGGTATATGAGCTAAGATGGATATTTTAAGTCGCTCATATTAAAAGATGTACAATAGTAACAAGATGTAGTTTACATTTATAACTCCAAGTTCAGGTAACAAACTTATATCCTTCCATTAAAAGTACATTTTTCTGCCATTTGTGAACCTCCAGATCATGTGACCAGGAGTCAGGTTAACAACCTTAAAATCTTTTGCCTGATCATTCAGAGTCTTCCAAGCATTTAGGGCAATACAGGGTTTGTTTCTACAAGAATAAAACGCTAGAGCTCACTCCCTTCCCCGCTCAGCTCTTTGCCCTGACCGACAAAAGTGAACTAGATGAGATCCACAGAGCACACCCTGAAGTAAGACTTTCCTTCCATAATAAAATGATGTTCTAGAGATAGAAATGTGCCTGTGTTCACATTTGAAAATTGGACTGCTCGGCTTGTCTTGTCTTGAGGGCATAGAAAGTCTAGGGGATGAGTTAGTAATACTTTTATGTTCATATCTTCTTGATGTTCACTTTTAGAAGGCATTTCTAAATTGACTTCTAAAAATTGGGGAACTTCATCTCAACACTTCTCTGCACCTGTGTAAAGAGGAGCAACCGTGGTTCACAGGGTTGCGCTGAGGAGGAAATGCGATAATACACCTAAAGGGCTTAACACAACCCTAGCATCCAGCAAGTGTTCAATAAAAGTTCATCTAATGAGGTTTTCTGTAACAATAATACTCTGGGTTTTTTCCCCCAAAATATCCTAGGTAAAAGTTTAGTAAACTTAGTTTAAATTCAAGAGGATCAATTATAATTTTTTTAACCATAGAAAGAGTGGTATTGTTCCTTCTCTCCACATGGTGGTGCTAATGTAGCATTACCAGGGAGCAGTGTGTGCAAACCTTTGAAAAAAGTCCTGTGCCACTAATGGTGATATCAATCTGTAAATGACCACGTAATGGCCAGCTGGAACACGTGCAGGACACCAATCTGGTGTGCTTTCAAAAATAGATTAATCACAAATTTAAAAATAAAATAAAATGAACAAAATGACAAACAGCTTCCAATCAGTGAGGGGGCGTTATCATTTGCAGTTTTTCCCTAAGATGGCTATAAATCCAGCCCATGCCATAGATCGGGATTCACATCCAGCTTGTTGCTTTTCTATTATCTATTTCTAAAAAACTAGAAGATTCACAGTCCCAGTTAGTATTTGTTAGGAATAAAAGCATTGTATTTAAGAATTTTCCCAAATGGTTCTAAACATTTGGCTTACATGTGGGTCAGAAATTATGGAGAAATTTTTCACTGAAGTAGGAAATGAGTCTCACTCCTTTTCATAGCCTGTTGAGTGCCTAATGAACACAATATTACAGTAAAGCAGTGGTTTGCAACCTTTTTCATTTCATGGTGCACATAAACTAATTACTAAAATTCTGTGGCACAGAAAAAATACATTTTTTGCCTATCTGACAAAAAACAGGTATCATTTTGATTTATTGACAAAAATAATAATAATAGTAATTACCAACCCTTTTTGCTTCAAAGTGACTTTTTAAAAAAATCACATGCCTATATTTGTATATACGGATTTCTGTACCAAGAGTTAACCAATCAGATGCAACCTTATCATGCTACATGACCAATAAGATGCAACTCTATTATATGACCTATATATTGATGGTTCAAGGCAGGGCATTCACATTGGAAGGCTATTATTATGCTGGCTGTGGTCATTTTATTTTAATTTGACAATCTAAGGGAAAACACTTTAGGTGCAACCATTTTTACTCACAAAGTCCTTGCCTGCCCATTGTGGCTGGTGCTCCCCCAGTACCAATCCCAGCATCCCTACCCAGTCTGTATCACAGGTGATGCACTAAACTGTGGGAGGAAACAAAAACCCTTTTTCTCTTTATTGTAGATTTTCCAATGAGAAATAATTGAGCATGTTATCCTCACCCATGCATGGCACAAGTAAACAACTACTTCATATTCTGTGCATAAGTGATTCCATCCAGCTATCCTGTCAAGGAAACTATCTCCCAGCATGCAACCTGAAAGCAACTTAGCACCTACACCAGTGGGTCTCAAAGTGCTGTCCTCAACTGCCAGCAACAATATCTGGAAATCAATTAGAATTGTAAATTTGGGGGCTTCAACCCATACCTACTGAATCAGAAACTGGGGCTCAGCGTTGAGGTATTCTGAAACGCTCTAAAGCCTCAGATCCAACAGTACCACCTACAAAAGAAGTGTTGGCAATACTTTCTGCTCTCTGTTAATACATTTGTAGCTATTCTCAAAAGTGTTTTGGCAACAATGTAAATTATAACAGTTTTTACTGGCAGGACTACAAATTTGAACAAACTTCTGTTTTGTTCTCTTCTGACTTCGCTGACAATATTCAGTATAACACACTGAAAAGTATTATTTTGTACTTATTCTAGAAAAACTTATTGGTTTACCAATAAATCACCTTGTTGTGTTAGGAGTCAACGTAAGAACATCATGTTACAATTTAAGTCTTACAGCAAAAAAGATTTTCTAGAGAATGAGAGGTAAATGGATTCTTAGTCTACTAAAAATAAATTTTCTGATATTCATCATCATACATCCAATTTGCTCTTTCCATTTTGGGCTGCTGAATGAAGGTCTCATTCACTGATTTACTTGTCCTAGCACATATCAATTTATTTCCATATTTGCACTGTAAAATGTTCTTTATGAGGTTTGCAAAGTTTTTCTGAGACATAGTCTGTCATTCCCTGAATGTACATATATTTAAGAAAATCACCTGTGAACCAATGGTCCATTTTTATGAATTGAGGATAGGAGGTTGCAAAATAACAACAAAAATGCAAACTTATCAGACAGCACAGAAATGATATAAAGATATGCCATACACCATACATAGTGTTTTCTGACAGCACATAAACCAAGTGACCAGCATAGCCCTTTAGTGCATGTGCAACCAATGAAAATAGTATGATTATTAAGAATGAAAAGATTTCTGTAAAAATAATCATTAAATTTCCATGTCAAATGTGGTATAAGCAGTAAACCAAATTGCTCCATCATATTTTCCTCTGAGACTACCAAACAGCCTATAGTACTATACTTTATACTTCCTTAATCTTAAGAGAATTATTTCCATCCCTTTTCATTCTTCTCCAATAGTTTCAATTATTTTATCTGCTAATCCTATATCTCCTCATTTTAATTCAATCCAGAAACTTCAGCTTGAGCCTCTCTCTTTAAAGTACTCCCCAAACCTGTGATCTGAGCACAGGTGAGACAATCCTGTATCCACAGATTCCCATAGAGTCAGAAGGCAACTGCAGGCTCTTTGATACTAGGCAGGAAGTAATAATATGAGGACCAAGGCAACAAGCAAAGGGCTGAAGAAGCCCAGAGGAGGAAGAAGTCAATCCTGACTGTGCCTCAATACTTGAGAAATACTTGTTTGATCTAGCTAACTCCACTGGCTGCCCTATTTTTCGTTTTTTGACCTTTACTAACTCACTTCTCAAAAGCATGGTCCAGGTTCGTGGTTTCCATTGCTTCATCACTGACTTCCTCCTTACCCCCTTGCGACACAGCTCCCAGCTTCAATACTTCAGTATTCTCCGTGGTATTTGATCCCTGCCACTAATTACAGGAGGGCCTCTCAAGAGGGGAGGGGGCCTATATGAGTTGCCTGTGGGTCTTTGGCACCTCAGACAGAGGTTCTCAACCACTGTGCATGAAAATTATGTAAAGAGTTTTGGAGAGACACCCATGCCCAGGCCCCCATCGATGATGGCTTTGAAATATGTCAACCTTGCTAGGTTGAACAACATTTCCCAGAATTTCTTTCCACTTGGGTAACCTCAGAGAGATCCGGGAGATGGAACTGAAGCTGATGCTCTTCTGTAGCTCTCATACACTGTCACTTATCCACTGGTTCATCTTGGCATAAGCCTGCAGCCACACCAGCAGCTGCCCCACCTTCTGTAGGTCCTCCTTCAGTTTCTCCAACTCCTGGGCCAGGGGTGTTCATTCAGCTCTGTAAGAAGAGTCCTCACTGCTGCAGGACACCCACGCCATTCAGGTCAGATGTAGCCATGACTGACACAGGGTTTTGTCTCTTGGCGCGGGTCCTGGCTGCTTCTTGCTCTCCTCTCTTTAAATCTATCTGCACTTCCTGACTGCCTGTCCTGTGGACTTCAAGCTTCAGCATCAGACTCAACGCCTTACAGAGGCTGCCTACCCAGCTCCCACAACAGCATAAAATCTAATCGCTTTATATGCAAGTATGTATTTAACTGAACTGTGCCTGATAAACCATGCCAGTTCAATATGTCAATATGTCAGAAGCTCAGAGGTGAGGCCCGAACATGAGTATTTGTTAAAAGCTTCCCAGGTGCTTCTAACATGGTTCGACACCACCTACCCTAGGGTGAAAACCTCCACGTCTTATTGCGCATCCTTACCAGAGTAAGACAGCATGATTGGTGGGAATGAGCCCCCTGCCCCATGAGCTGGACTTGAGAAAGATTTAAATCCTGTATTGCCCTGCCTGACGTATTTTCTCTGATTTAGTCCTTTTTATTTTCTACAAATCCAGCCCCTACCCACTTCGCAGATCACTGCAGTCTCCATTTCCAGTCTTTCCTCCTTCCATTTCATTCCAACCACAGCCCCCAGGCTGATCTGAAAAATACTACTCATAACATCCCTCTGTGTCCAAAGGCTTTCAGCAACTCCCTGCTTTCTGAACCCCCCTCAGCCCAAGAAAGAGCCAAGTAGAGGTCCTGCAATGAAAAGGGACAGGGCCTCCACTGGCTCCTTGGAATCTAACAGCCAAGGCCCTAGCCAGGTAACAGCCTTTACATTCCATGCTGCTCCTCAGCCCCACCTGAAACCTCCTGCTTATATTAAGGTACTTCATACAAACACATTTGAATTCTCATTGTAACACAGGTAGAAAGTAAAGTACAAATTCCTAAATTCCTCCGTAGAGGTGCCCTTGACATGTCAATAAAAAGTGGCTGACTCCTCCTTTCATGTCCAATTAATGTTGCTGCTACTATGATCCTCTTCCCAGAGTTCAAGGACAAAGACAGGATTTAGTTGATTTTCCACCACAAAAACACAATCTGAACTGAAAGGGATCTTCACACTCCTCTCCCAGCATAGACATTTCAAAGCCAGTAAGGCCCTCTCGTACGGTGGAGTTCTCTACAGCAGCATATATGCTGGCTGTGAAATTTCCTTGCAGAACGTACAGGATTTCCTTGTCCCAGGGGTCTTCTACTTGCATCTTATAAAGGAGGCCTTACAAAATTAGGACATTTGCTCTCACAGCTCTCTTTCTGTGGACACCAAGAAGTTGAGAAAATACAACTGAAGAACAGAACGAAGGCCCACCCCCGATGCATTTTCTATGGATCTCACTATTACGTGATATTAAAATACAAAGTAGATATTTGGCACCTCCCAAGGCCTATGTCTGAGCGTTTTGGTTTTATTTTTTTGCTTTTATCTTTTTTGTCCTCTATCCATGTACTAATGTTTACATTGAAAACGTTTCCTCTAGATTTCTCCACAAAAATACTCACCCATATTTCTCTGCAAGTCCTATGGCTTCCTCTTCTTTCACTACTCTCTGGTCTTCCAGATCACTCTTATTTCCACATAACACAATATCTGGGTTTTCACAATATGCATGCATTTGTAGCTGGCCTGTTAATATAAGAAGATAAGAAAATTACAGGCAAACAATAATACAAGTATATGATCGATAAAGAATACAAGCAAAAATGTTGTGAAAACTGTAAATGGAAATACAGATAAAAGGAACTGATATAGTGCTTCCAAAGCATCAGTACCCTGATCTATAAAACTGAATGGGTGAGGCAGAGATGTAAAATTACTCCTGCTGTTGAGCACATACTCCAGCTTATGTATACCAGAGGGAAATGGGAAAATGTGTTAAACCTCCAAAAGTGTGCATGTGCACACACACGTGCAACAGGTGGCCGTCTTTTTTATGAAGGCCATTTGAAAAAAAAAATGGAGGATTTCCTAGTGCTTATAGCTAACTTTAAAACTTTGTTGTATATTTTCTCTGCATAGCAATCACAATTTTGAAAGAGTTGTCTTCCTATAAGCTAACCTATTTCTATCTGAAACATTTTTCATATTATTCTATTACTTTAAAGCAAAATAAATTCATTTAAAACAAGATACAGGATTCAATGAAGAGAGAAAATCCATAATAAACAGTCAATGGTTTCATCACCAGAAACAAGAAAAAGCAGGAGATTCCAATTCTTATTCCAAAGCCCTTTATTTCTTTTCACCTGAAAATCTGTAGATATAATTTTCAAAACCAATTAAATCAAACAAAAGAGCCTCATTAAGATAAAGAGTTTAATCTTCCAAAGATGGAAAATAAAGTATTTTTTATTACTTATCACACCCCATAATGAAAATAAAGCAGTCCAAACTTTCACAAAGTTTATGGCCTAATTTATTTTTTATCGTGGTTAACCAGAAAAGTGTTGATGTTTTAGTTCCTCATTATGAAGTCAAGTTCATTTTATCTTATCAAGAGAAAGTCACCTTGGCGAGCATTTACTGAGTGTCAACCTCGGACTGATAACTGGTGTAGAATTTCAAAACAATGACCTTTGCCCTCAAGGGACAACCAAGGAAACAAGAAATATAGGGCGAGACCAAATTGTGTAATTTCCAAGACCAGCAGTGCCCTTTCTTTCCTCAGCTGTTATATATGCTGTCCTCACATGTTACCCTTGAATACCCAACCACAACCTTCCTTCAGGGACTGCCCACGCTTCCTTTAAGACTTGCTTCTCAGTCACCTCTACTGTGAAACCTCCCTGGTCTCCAGAATGGCTCTGTGCTCTGTGAACACCTTATATGTCCACTGGTATGGTTCTAAGTGTGAACTCAGAATCCAACGTGTCTAAAGTTGAATCCTAGCTCTGCCATTTACTAGCTGTTATACTTATCACCCTGGTATACTTATTTGACTGCTCTGTGCCTCAGTTTTCTCATAAGTAAGTGCCGATAATAAGGGTACTTCATAGGGTTAAAGTGAGGAGCGAATGAGTTAATTCAGTGATCTTTCAGGTAAGATCTATGGATCAGCAGCCTAAGAAATTATTAGAAATATAAGTTATCAGGTCCCAATGCTGATATCCTGAATCAGACAGGGCCCAGAATCTGTATTTTAACAAGCCTTCTTGGTGGTCCAGACACACACTCACATTTGAGAACCACTGAGTTAACATCTTAAAGCATTTTGAAGTGCTACGTACAAGGGAAAGAAAGAGAAGGATGAGGAGAAGGGCTAGGTAAATATTACTACTAATAATGTTTAATAATGTTTATTTCAGTCAAGATAGCATCACAGGTAAACACAGCTAACCTCCTCATACAACCACATCAAAATTACAATGAAACTATAGAACAACCATCATTAAGAAGCATCAGAAACTGAATTAAATGAAAGCCTGACAACTATGGAATTAAAGAAACTATATCCATCCAAACGAGTAGAAGTAGAGACATGGAATGGGTTGTCCCATATCCATGTGTTCTGGATAAAAATGCAGGAGAAATATCTTGGCAGTGATGAGTCCCAGCCCCACACCAGGCCCCCTAGCCCAGGAATCCAGGGCCAGGAAGATAAGTACCCAAAACTACTGGCTAAAAAAATACCAGTGGGGATTAACTACTGGCTAAAAAAATACCAGTGGGGATTAAATACTGGTGGAAGAAACTTATGGAGTCCCAAGCAGTTCCTCTTAAATAACTGACACACAGGCTTACTCAGATTCACTCCCTCTGAGCTCCAGCACTGGGGTAGCTGCTTAAAAGGCACCAGTGGCATACAGGGAGGAATTGAGGTGTCTGATATCAAGGTGAGAGCTGGGGGACAGCTTTCTCCCAGACAGAAAAGCAGGCAGAGCCCATTGTCCCCTTTCTGAATCCTCCCCTACACAGAGCCACAGAGCCAGCAGAGAGGATCCATATTTGAGACTCCATCAATTTAACACTGTTTGCCCTGCCCTGAAGATCCCCTGAGGCTCATTTCCACCCACCTTATGGGCCCACCCAAGCTGTTAACCATGTGAATGGCTGGTCTTGGTTCATGCTTCACAGCTTCCTAAATCCTCTCAAACAAGAACAGCCCACCTCAGCAAGCCCCCAGCCCCTGTACCTCTTGGTAAGTGGCCCCAGGCATGGCACTAGCAGCAGCCAGCCTAAGTTCACTGCTTGGCTTCACCTGGGAATCTCCAACCCAGCAAAAGTACCAGCCATCTCAGATTGATTTATAGCTCAGGCAGGGTGGCCCTGAGAAGAATACATGTCAGGCCTGCACCACCAGGGGAACACCAGAGCCTACACTCCTAATAGAAAGCAAGAGACCCTGTGCCTGCACAACTGATTCTCCATGAAGAGCAGAGTTTGGTGATCAGTGGTCACAGCAAATCCTTGCAGCTGACTTCACTGGGTAAATTCCTCCATTTTACCTGCCAACAGCAATCAAGGCTCAGCTACAGTAGGAGGATATGCTTAGCCCAAACAAAGAGTGCAACTCGAGTACCCAGCTTGGGTGACAGGGGAGGCTGTGCCACTGGACCTTACAGGACACCTACTACATTAGGCCACAATACCAAGACAGGGAGTTAAAGCAGCTCTACTTAATACATAGAAACAAACACAGGGAGGCTGCCAAAATGAGCAGACAAAGAAACATCACCCAAATGAAAGAACAGATCAAAACTCCAGAAAAAGAACTAAACTAAATGGAGATAAGCAACCTCTCAGATGCAGAGTTCAGAACATTGGATATAAGGACACTCAAGGAACTTAGTGCGGACCTCAACAGTATAAAAAAAAGATGTAGTCCAAAACTAAGGATACACTAATGAAAACAAAGAACAATTTACAGGGGAACAATGGGAGAGTGGGTGAAGCTGAGAAACAAAATCAATGATTTGGAAAATAAGGAAGCAAAAAACAACCAACTAGAACAAGAAGAAAAAAAGAATCCAAAAAAATGAGGCTAGTGTAGGCATCCTCTGGGACAACTTCAAGTGTTCCAACATTCACATCACACGGATGCCAGAAAAAGAACAGAAAGAGCAAGAAATTGGGACTCTATTTGAAAGAATAATGAAAGAAAAGTTCCCTACTTTAGTGAAAGAAATAGACAAGCAAGTCCAGGAAGCACAGAGAGTCCCAAACAATATGGGTGAAAGAGGCCCATTCCAAGACACATCATATTTAAAATGTCAAAGGTTACAAATAAAGAGAGAATCTTAAGAGCAGCAAGAGAAAAGAAGTTAGTTATCTACAGAGGAGTTCCCATAAGACTGTCAGCTGATTTCTCAAAAGAAACTTCACAGGCTAGAAGGGGTTGGCAAGAAATATTCAGTCATGAAAAGCAGGAACCTACATCCACAATTGCTCTACCCAGCAAAGTTATCACTTAGAATGGAAGGGCTGATAAAGAGCTTTGCAGAAAGAAAAAAACTAAAGGAGTTAATCATCACCAAACCATTACCATATGAAATGTTAAAGGGACTTATCTGATAAAAAGGAAGATCAAAACTGTGAAAAATAAAATGGCAATAAGTACATATCTATCAACAACTGAATCTAAAGCACAAACTAAGCAAACAAGAACAGATACAAAATCATGGATACAGAGAGCATTTTGATCATGGCCAGATAAGAGGATGGTGTGGGGAATGGGTGAAGAGGTGAGGGGTATAAGAAGTACAAATAGGTAGTTATAGAACAGCTATGAGGGTATAAATTACAGTATAAGAAATGGAGTAGCCAAAGAACTCATGTGCATGACCCATGGACATGAACAATGGGGTGACGATTACCTGAAGGAGTGGGGGGTGCTGGATGGAGGGGGACAAAGGGAGAAAACTTGTAAGAGAATAACATATAAGCTATAATTAATGATAATATTATTTAGGGACTTCAGGTCAAGATAGAGGCATAGGTAAACACAGCTCACCTCCTCACACAACCACAGCAAAAATTACAACTAGACTAAAAACAACTATTACCCAGAATCATCAGATTGTCAAACTTTATGGAAGTCCAACAACCAAGGGATTAAATTCACATTCATCCAGACAGGTAGGAGGGGCAAGGAGATGAGTGGAGAGATGCAGAGATGTGGAATGAGTGGTACCACACCCACATGTGGTGGATAAAAATTGGGAGCGATACCTCAGGAGCAAGGGATCCCAGTTCCACAGCAGGCCACTCAGCCCAGGGTTCCAGTATCAGGAAGACAAGTTGCTATACCTTCTGGCCATAAAAACCAGTGGTGAATGGGAAAGCAAAAGAAACTGCAGGATTCTTCAGAGGCTTCTCTTACAAGGACCGCAATGTACTTGGGATGTATGCAGACTCACTCCCTCTGTTGCTAGCACCAGAGCAGCTGCTGGAAGAGCAGCAGTGGCATATAGGGAGAAAGCGAAGTGTCTGGCATCAGAGTGCCAGGGGGCAGCTTCCTCCTGGACAAAACTCCAGATGCCAGGAAGCAGCATTGTCCTCTTTCTGAGCCCACCCCCACATAGAGACACAGGGTGGTGACCGCATATTGGAGACTCCATCAACCTGGTTCACATAGGTTGTCCCATGCAAGCAATTACCTAATACTCCACCCTATCCAACTTACTGAT